AAAGGATCATCTGCATGATTCCTTATTTTAATATCTCATACTGACTATTTTAGTTCTATTTCACACTCAGGATTACAGTTACAGTTAAATTACAAACAGCTGTGATTCCTGCCCCAAGAATCTGTGTAGGTGTGCACAAAATGCTTAATGTCTTCTGCAGGGAACAGGTGTTGCACAGGCAGTGTAGGCTGGAATGAAATAAATTCACTCAGGCTGAAGCTATGAAATGGACTTGGTAAGATGTGATGTTTTGAGTCACACATGTAGGAAAAGAGGTATATGACAGAAACCCTGAAAGACACAAAAAGGGAAGCCTACGTTTCCACTGTGGCATCATCCTCACAAGTTAACCATTTCTAAAAAATTTTAGTTACTTTGAATAACAACTGCACAGAAGTGCAAAATGCTAAGTGGCAGCCCAAGAGGAATGGCAAACTGCAGTCTGCAGGGTTCTCTTTCCCAGGGACCAGCTCAGGATGCTTGAGGAACATTGCAACCTCACACAATCTTACAACTTGTTGACTTTTGTTGGGTTTGGTTTTAAATGGAAGTTTAACTTCCTCATTTAAAAAAAAAAGTTTTTTGTTTTTTTAGAAATGCATACTAGACTTTACAATAGACATTTAAATTGCACTCATTTTCCCTTTCCGTCCAGTGATAAAATGGTGGCCATTGGCACTTACTGAGCACTTAACATCTATTCAACGTGCTGGTACTGGGGATACAAAGGTGGAGAAAACGCGCTAATTTCTAGTGCAACAGCATACTGTAAAAGAATTAAAAACTCTTCTCTGTGGAGTGATGTTCTGTATAATTTGCCTAACAAATGTATGAGGAAACATAACATTGCGTCCAGACTTTGTTTTCTGGGCTGATTTGGGTCCTACCAGAAGCAAAGGAAGGTCTTAGAGTCCCTTTGAACTATGCCAAGTGATGAGTCCTAGCAAAAATGCAAACTCCTGTGGCTCACACACGCAGTCTCCAGGACATATAAGTCACTTGGGAAGAGAGGATCGAATGCCTTCTTTCCTGATGGGTTAGTCTGAACTTACTCTAAGGTCTCCCCATGATAAAGCAAAAGAACTTGATTAAGCTCCTTGAAATAACTTAATAACTTATCAAGAAATTAACCTATCTATTTTTATCTTCTCAAAATGTGGTCCATCAACCATGTGCATGAGAATCTGTGGGATGCTCAGTAACACGGCAGTCCTGGGCACATAGGATGCTCATGGCTAACAAGCTCCCACAGGTGATTCTTATGTTTGATAAAGCAGATTAATAGAAAACCACTGATGTTGGGCCAGATGCCTTCTCCACCCAACTCACTGATCCCAGAGGCTAACCTAGATGGACTACATGAGCCAGGATCTCTCCCTCTCTGACTCCTAGTTGGCTCTGGTCAATGGACCCTAGAAGCTGACTGGAGGAAAGGAGGAGCGTGACGAAGATATTTATTTCCTGGGCTTTCTCTTCGCTATGTTGCCTACAGACAGCCTTCTGCAACCCCTAGGACTTTCACTTTTCCAGTTTCTACAGTGACTCATGCCTCTTGTCCCTTTGGGTGCAGATATGGTAACAGCTCCTCTGATGTTACCCGCCCTGGAGTACGACACTATTCCCTTCAGCCTGCCTGCACTTCGTAAACAGTCTCCTTGTAAATTAACTCTCCTCTAATTTAACGTGAGTGTGCCATTTGCTTTCTGTAGGAACCTTGACTGAAATACTTAGACATATTTAGTAATATTTTATAACTCATAATATTTTATGTTTTGCAGATTGCTCTTATATTTATTTTTTTATCTTTACAACAAAATATGATGTAAGGAAAGTAGATTTTTTTTTAAAAAAAAATCACTATTCTATGATTAAGAGAACGAAGGCCAAGAGAAGTTAAATACTTGTTAAAGTTCACCCCGCTGGTGAATGTGGGAACCAGAGAGCACGTCTGGCTTAATGACTCTGAATTTAGAGCTCTTTGCACTACATAAAGCTGCTGGTCTCCTTCTTTCCCCACCACGTGTCACATCACCTGATACCATTACCTGATACAACTGCAACTGAAATCACGTCTTTTGGGTAACAATGGACAACGAAAGAAAGAATGCAGCGTGATCCATGTATTCCTTTCAACTGCGGCTGGGATGCAGGCACCCAAGGACTGGGAGAGGAATATTCTCAGAGAAGATGAGCTTTTCCACAGTTGTGCATATGGTATATGCAGTTGGCTCTTACACAACCTAGTCTCTGAGGAGCTTCCCATCCAAAAGCAACTTAACCATCCCTTTCTTGAGCTCCCTCTGTACTCTAAGCCAGCATCTATCACAGCATCTCTACCACTTTCTCTGTGTATCTAGCTCTTCCTTTAGATTGGCAGCTCCCTCATGGCAGTCTACTTTTTTCATTTACTACTCTATCTCCAACTTCTTGCCTAGTTCTGGGCACACAGTAAGTGCTCAACAAGTATCTGTTGACTGCATAAAAGAGCAACTATCTGTCTAGTGCATCCATATACCAGCACCATTACAAAATCTTAGAGTCACTTTCTCCTTTCCAGTCTTTCTTATTCTCTAACCCAGCCAGTTGTCAATTTTTGTTGATTCTACTTTTCGAATCTCTCTTAGATATATTTCTTCCTTCTCATTCTACTGCCACTGTCCTAGTTCAGGTTCCCAATGCTTTTTTCCTTGTAGTTTCTTGTATTAGTTTCCTAAAATTCCTTCCCCTTGTTTTTGCTGGCACCAATGCCAGCTTAATCTTCTAGAGTCCAGCACAGAGCATCTCACTCCTCATCACAGCTTTCAATGGCTTCAAAACAATAGTTTATACACTTTAGCATATCATTCCAATGCTGTGTGCCTGGCTTCATATTTCCTTGCCCAAGCATCCTTTTGTATACTCTAACTTCTAGCCAGCCCGAACTTTGTCCTGTTTCTCTTACCCCTGGTTTCCTCCTCACTCTGTGCCTTTGCTGGTACAGTTTTAACATCTGGAATACTTTCCTTTGTCTGGTATATCTGTCTGCAAGGCTATGCTAAGAAGCTACACCTTCCATGAATTCTTCCTATTCTGCTCTTGTTCATCTTTTTTAGAAGTAGTTTTTCCTGGATTTGAACTCTCATATCGTCTTACTGATATCATTTTAGTGGCATTTAATGCTTTCTGTGTATTGGAATTATTTCTGTTACCCCTCTACATCTTACCCATCTATAGATGGTAAGGTCCCCAAGTTCAGGATGCATATCTAAATTATTCTTGTATTGTTACATATGGTGCTTTGTACGTAGGACGGATCAATAAATATTCATTGAATTAATATGTGTAATTGTACAAGGGAAGCATGGACAAGAAATGGGGCATCAGGATCTATTAAAGGTTAGTAGATGAGGTGATGCTGAAGACACAAAAAGAAACCAGAGGCATATATCACTGTAGCAAAGACATAGAGGCAAAAGGAGGATGCCTGAGCCTCTGGACACCTAGAGATGGCTTGCTTGCCTGAGTAGGAGATGAGAATAAGAGACACTGGCCATCAGGGGAGAAGACCCTGAAATTCAAGGGGAGAAGTGACTTGGACCAATGGGTGATGGGCAGACAGTGAAGATGTTCTTTATGACAAAATGACAGAAATCTTGGCAATAGACAGAAGGACAGATAGTCAGGAAAGAAGTGAATGTAGAAATTAAAAATTACTATAATTAGGTCCTGAATAAAACTGAAAAGGATGTGACCACAAAAAATGGCTGGACTTGGGGACCAACAGAGTTGACATGTATAGATGTTGGTAGAATATGGAAAGAGAGGACCAGAGGCAGGCATAGTTATGTCTAAGTTAGATCATTAGGCTGACCTTGGGGAAAAGCCTTTGATACCCAAGAGGATTTTGGGCCATTAATATCAGAAATGTTTAGTAGCAGCACTGACTTGGGAGACGAGGTTGCCTCAGAACTGCAGAAGAGGTCAGAGCAGATGTTCAGTTCTGTGAAAGGACTCTGAAAGCACTCACGGACTTCCCAGAAGCCTCTTCTTGCAGCTGTGACATGTATTAGATATCTGTTCCAAATGGGAAATACTGATACTCTAAGCAGTTTGTGTAGGTTATACCTACAGCTCTATCTGGGTCGCAACAGAATTCCCTTCCTACTGCAATTGTATGCTCTATCTGATTCCAAATCTGAGAGTAATTCAACATGCAGAATGAGGCATTGGTAACTCCTGGATTCTTTTTAGGCTTTTAAATGCTTTACTGCACAAGTCTAATTGCTCAATTTCTCTGCCAGAATCTCATCACTGGTTAAATGAATTCAGTAGTATTCACTTCAAAGTGATCTTGTGAAGCTTAATTAATGAATGTCTTATTTATAAATCCTTACAAAGAATTGTTTTACTTCAAACCTTCAGGATGAAACCAAATTGAACTTGAGTCTTTTTGCGTCAATGGCTTTTCAAAGAAATAGACTCTTTTTCTCCCTGTGGAGAAATCAGCATAAACACTATCGGAATTTATCTAAACAAAAGAACGGGGCATTTTCATCATTCCACAATAAAATGGAAATTTTCTTGGAAAGGAGGTGCTTTTCTATTCACTGTTCAATTTCTACTTGATTTTGCCTTCTCCCACTGCCTGTCAATTATCTAGGACTAGGGAACATTTAGATTTAAGTGGTGAGTAGGGTTTATCCAGGGAGACAGAATCAGGGCAAAGTTGCATATTACATTCATCTTTAAATTTCTGCTCCCTTGGCTGTCTGTGGCCTGTAACTATAGCTACGTGGTCAAATATTGTTTTTTCATATCTACCTCCCTTGGGGTATGTGGGTAAATGCCAAAGAACAAAATAGCTGGAATAATAGTTTTGAGAAATCTCTCCATGTTTTAAAAACCCATTCGTTGTATGGAAGACATGACAAATCTATGTAGAAATCTTGTTTGGTGCCCATATAAAAATAACCCCACAGTTCTCTGTGGTATTTGGCCATCTCCTGTTTTTTTTGTTTCAGGATGAAACAAGGTTAAATAAATCACAAGCACCATTCTACTGGAGTCAAGGTTACAGCAAAGAAAGAAGGAGTTGGTGAAGATTGAGGTTAGTGGTTGTAGAAAACAAGGTGGTCAGCTCTAAAAATGGGAGCTTGGTTTTGACAAAACTGTGAAGCAGGTAAAGACCGGCTTCAGTGTTCTCTCCTTTCCCCACAACTGCACTCCTCTCCTCTAGACATGGCTCTCGGGGCCTCTGTGCGCTTAGGTTTCGATGGAAACTAAAATTCTATTGCTAAAATGCTGGCTGATGCTCAAGAGAGAGGTGTGGGGGTAATTATGGCTTATGCAGAATCAACTTTGGGGCCCCTTAAAAAGATCCAAAGAGGGGAAACAACTTTGGCCCAGTGAGGATGAGGATGAGGTTGGGTGGGGGTAGAGAGCTTCTCTGGAAGTGGAATAAGGAGTGACTTTAAGACTCAAATGGTAAAAACTTCAGGCACTGTACAAGTTGGTAAAAGAACTGTCTTTGACTCTTTGAATCACAGGATGTAGACAGCTGCCTATCCCACTTCTTCTGAAGGTGCCGAACAATAGACGCTACAGGTGAGAGAAAAATACAGCTTGGTTGGCACAACCAATGACCCTTGTACACAGCCCCAAGACACTACATTTGATTTTCAGAATTAAACCAAGTCTTTCCTGAGATTCGGAATCAACTTAATGTTTTTCATATCTAGTTTCCAGCTGGAACAAAATTCCAAAGTGCCGGAATTCTCATAAGAAAACTACATTTGCGAATATCCAACCCAATTCTGCAGATGCCAGAGGCTTGGATGACCATTACTAATAGTCCTGTTAAACTTCATAAAAGCATCCACAGTTTTGGCATCTTGTCCTGAGAGAGTTAGAAATCCTTTGATTTTCTACCTCTAGAACTTTTAAAAAGAATAATAGAGTGGAAAATGCTTTAAAACTATAGTATTTACATTCCATGAACTTATTCCGTGTGTAAATTATTGGCCTATTTTGTAAGGAAAAAATGTGGGGTTTTTGCACAGGATATATGTGGCTATATCATTGTCATACTGTGAAAAATCATGGATTAAGAAAAGCTGTAAAGAAAATAAGAAAAAATAAATTTCTGTTTTTATCTTTCAAGGCAAATAAATATTGGATTTCTCACAGTAGGCCTATAAAGTATTTTATAAGCAATAAATCCTTAATCTCCTGCCGAGGCAGCATGCCGTGTTGGAATAGGAATAAGAGAGCAGTTTTTCTTCTAACTAGCTCTGTAATGTTAGGTAAGTGTGGCAAGCACTCTTGATTGTCTACCCAAATGCCATTCTTCTAGGCTAATAGCTCCCTTTGTTTGTCAACTTTCCTAAGGTTGACAAAGCTTCATTTCCAGGGAGGCTGGGTTTCTCCTCATCCGCATGGATGGAATCATGATTATTCTAATCCAGTCACAGGACATCCTTCTCCTTTGTCATTGAGTGCATAAGTGGTGACCATGTGATCTGTTCTGGCCAATGAGATGAGAGGGGAAGTCACCTGGGGCCCCTCTTGAAAAAAATCTCTTTGCACTTAAAAATAGAGCACAAGAAACACCACCATAATTAAGTGATGTTACCTAAAATCACCAAAAAAAGAGGCAAAGTGATATCATGAGCCTCCTGATGTGTTGCAATGTGAAGTATGGAACTGGTGGCTATGAAGTGTTCTTGAAAAAAATGTATAATTTGAATATATTTATGAGGAAGCAATCAAATCTGGATTGTGGGACATTTTATTAGACAACAGTCCTGGACTTTCCAAGAATACAATCTCAAAAAAGACATTTCAACAAAAGGTAGAACAACTATTCTAGAATATAGGATATCAAAGATGCATGATCCTTGACTGAATCCAGGATTGAAACGGAAAAAAGTGCTCTGGAAGACTTCCGAGACAAATCAGGAAATTTGAATATGGACTATATTTTAGAAAAGGCTTTTTTTAATGAATTAAGTTTCTGGCATATATAATCATATCCTGATTATGTGAAGAATGTCCTTGTTCTCAGAAAAATTTTGCTGTAGGGTCTATTGCTGAACTGTCATGAGGTCTACATCTTGTTTTCAAATGATTCAAGATAAGAAGAGAGGCAGAGAGAGAGAAATGGCACAGGTAAGTCTAGAGGTCCATAGAGCAGTAGCAACGTCATCTGGGAACTTGTTGGAAATGCAGACTCTCAGGTCCTACCACAGAACTACAGAATCCAAATCTGACTTTTGACAATATTTCTAGGTGATTCCTCTGCACATTAAGGTTTAAGAAGTAGTTCTGTAGCACATGTAGTCTGGCCAAACAGCCATATTGTTGTGTGTACATGGACAAATGCATGAGCCTTGTCTGCAGACAGAACGAGGAGAATAAAGCAGATGTGCAGAGAGAAGCAGAGGGGTAAAATCACAGGGTTCTAGACAAACAGCAAGACTATTCCAATTGCTACTCCCACATAGTGATGTAAAGCAACGACAATCAATTGTTAATCTCTCCCACAGTTTTGGGGTTAGCTGAGTGCTTCTCCTTGGAGTCTCTCATGTGGTTGCAGTCAGACAAAACCCTTGGAATCATCTTGATGACTTCCTTACATGTCTGGTTCCTGGGCTGAGAAGACTCAAACAGCTGGGGGCTGGAACAGATGGAGCTCCATGGGCATCTCTCTCTATCTCCGTGTGGTCTTTCCAAGTAGTCTATCCCACTGGCAGCTTCTGGACAGCTGGACTTCTTGAGGCTAAGAGTTCTAGGGGCAAGTTCCAACAGAGAGAGCCAGGTGGAAGCCGTATCAACTCTTATGACATAACTTTGCTTCACAAGTCATCTACACTCTCCTATCATGGTCCTGTATTAGTTAAGGCAGTCACAAAGGCACACACAGTTTCAAGAGAAGAGGGCATAGATTTCAAATTTTGGTGTAGCAGTGGCAAGGCTCAGGAAGAGCATGTGGGATGTAAAATACTGTTGTGGCCATTTTGGGAAAATATAATCTGCCATAGAGAATAAGCTCAATTCTGGACCATCCAGAGATGAGGTCCGATTGTACTTCCTTCCCTTGTGTTTTGTTAGATACCTTGTATCTTTGCAGAAAACTCACCTTTTCATTTTGTGTGTGTGTGTGTGCTAGATAGAGTGGGTTTCTGTTACTCATGATTAAGATAGGCTTGACTAATGGATGTTAAGTAATGGTTTCGGACATTCTTCTCCAAACTTGACTTCTGTCTTCGAAATGAATTCATTCAATCCTTATCTTATTCTAACAAGGCATGATGAGATTGCTGAGGAGCACATACAATCTCTTTGACTGATCCCTAGAAAAAAAATAAGTGCAATGTGATTGCCTGGTTGGTAGGATCCCTGTTACAGCAAGACAAGTAGCAAGGCTGGCCAGGCTGAATGTTGCATACTCATAGCAAGCACCATTACTGATTCGGCAGCTTAGCAGTGCTTTTCTAGGTGTGGTTCAGGAATTGCATGCATCTGAAGGACATGGGGGAGCTTATTACAATGCAGCTTCTTGGACTCTATCAGCATCTCTAGTGTATGGAGCCCAGGAACCTCCATTTTAAAATCTCCCTTTATGAAGCTCTTTCCTAAATCTGTGCTTTTCAAACTTTAATGTAAACCTGGGATGGTGTGTGAGATTCTGCATTTTAAGACGCTCCCCAGTGATGCTGATGCTGCTGGTAAGCAGATCACACTTTGAGTAGCAAGACCTTAAAGCAAGACCTCAAAGTGTGGTCCCTGCACCAGAAGCATCAGTACCCCCTGGGAACTTGTTAGAAATGCAAATTCTGAGGCCCCACTCCAGATCTACTGAACCAGAAACTCTGCGGGTGAGACCCAGCAATCTATAGTCTACCAAGCCCTTCAGATAATTCTAATACACGCTCAAGTTTGAGAACCACTGCCCTAAGCAACATCTGATTGGTAGAGAGCAGTGGTTCCCAAACACGGCTGATCAGAATCAGCTGGGGTGAGAGTGACCCTCCTATGGATTTTTAGACTCACTCAGGAGATTCTCATTCTATAGGGCTGGGCTGGGCCCAGTGATGCTGAAGTCAGCCATGGTGGGGAACCACTGGTTTAGAGTGATTAGAAGGACAATGATCCCGAGGAAAGGCTAATGCAGTCTGGGAGACAAAGCTAGAGGGAGGAAGAGAAAAAAAGGATCAAAATGGGAAACTCACAGTTACTTAAATAATTAGTATGTGACAAACCCTGGGCGAGAGGTTTTATATAATGTCATTTAATTGTCTAGAGTACACTACATGGCAAGTACTATTACCTCCATTTGATAAATCAGAGACTAGAGATAAAAATTGGTAAATAATTTGTCCGCAGTCACACAGTTAGTAGTGGAACAGAAAATTAAAGCCAAGCTTCTTTTACTTTAAATCTTTTTCCGTTTTCCTCTGTAATTTAAAAAAGACTTTGTAAGGTGGTTGAAAGGATGTCTGGCAATCACGAAGAGGGGGTGGAAGGAGACCACTATGGGCAGTGCAGTACTGAATTAACAGTGTGCATGTCAATTTCCCCACCTAAACTGTGACAACATTGGAAAGAACCATGTTGTCATTTCTTTATTCATTTATTCACTCAATACACATTTATGGAGACTCAACAACGTATTAGACACTATCCTAGGTGCTGAGGATAGATACAGTAGTGAAAAAAATGTCTTCAGGGAGGTTATAGTCCTGTTCGTCTTTGTTTCTCAGTACCTACCAAAGCAGATGTCGCACAATAAACACTCTATAATTATTGCCTTATGCATTATCTGTGGATGGATAATTTAAAATTAACTGTAGAATTAGTCATAGCTGAGCTATTGAGCCAATGTATTAGCCAGGGTCTAATTACATAAAGCTCTGATTTCCCTTCCTACTCTGTTTTATCTGGGGGGGAGGGGGCACGGAATATTGATGATAATTAATGACATAACCAGCGGACTAAGAAAGAGAATTTGTTACTTAGCAGCCATGAGGAAAGTCGTTTAGGAGGAAAGTTGAAGTAAATTCAACTGAATTGCTATAAATGAGTCCTGGGAATCAACTAAAATGTCATTGATCAGAGTTTTCCTATTGCCGCTAGTTATGTGGGTAATAGAGATTGCTGAGCGTCTTTCAAGTGTTTCCTTCAAATGTACTTTCCTACATCTTTGGCAAATTTTTAATTGCTCCTAGAGTGAAATTAGACATAGTAGTTAAGAACTTTTAAAATGAAGATGTAATTAGTAGTAATGAAAAAATAAACTTATATAATATGGTTAATTTTTAAAATAGTCTGTGAAAGATTTCATTTGCCTTGCTAATGTAATAAATGGAGTGCCTGAAGAATACTGCTGGTGACAAAAATTTACATTGTCATTTAACACTTGTTGATGTGGTCCCTGATAGTATTAAGATTCTCCTAACTAAGATAAACCATTGACAGTCCAGGTTGATGTTTTTGAGTCTCACTACATGCCTCCTTCAGGAAGCTCTTGAAAAAGAAATAGTGTTGCTGTTGTTTAGGTTTGAGAAGATTAAGAGGCAAACGATTAGCTGTCTAAGAATCTTTGAAGCATTTACTGACATTTGAAGGTTATCAACCATTCCCCAAATTAAGTAGGTTATTTACAAAAACTTCATCATATAAAATGTGCCTTCAGGTGGAGGATAGTGAAAGAGGGGATGGCATTTATGGTTACTTGACATACACTATCCCCATTTTATAGCTAAGGGATCAGCAGACATAATAAATAATGTTCTCAAGACCACTCAACTAATGAGTATCAGCCTAGGATTTCCCGACTCTTCAGCATGAGGCTGTCCCACAATATCCGAAGGAAGAATTCTTCAGAAAGAGAACTTGTTACATTTGAATGAGATACGTAAGAAGATTATGGTAGTTTCCATCATTTAAAACAAGAACAGATTCTAATATATCTGGAGTTATCCTTGTGTTCCAATGTTTCAGTCTCCCCCTCTTCCTGAAAACTAAAGAAATAATAAGATCAGGCATGGCATTATTTTCTTTGACATCTGGGACTGTAGAATGCAAAGTTTGCTTTGCCAACATCATCCTCTATGTGGAACCTTTCCTGACTTTCCTAGTGTGCTCTGTTTACACAACTCCTGTAGTCGTGTTTTTCTCATTAAACTGTGGCTTCCTGAGGGCAGGATGGTACTTTATCCTGCATCTCTGGCTGTGGAGGGAATGTATCAATAGTTCATTTTTCAGAGGTACTTTGATTATTAACCAGCTGAATCTTCTGGTGGCAGACTAGCAATTTTTTCAACAAAATTTATTGAGTACCTAATACATGCCAGGCAACATGTTAGGCACAGAAGACAAACCATCAGTGAAAAAACAGACAGCTCGTCCCAGGGCTTCTTTGCTATAGAGCTCCAGGGGCACCAATCACGCCATAAATCCATGTGTCCAGTGCAGCCCGGAGTTGTGCCACACAGCTTGTGTGGCCGTCAGGAGGGACCCTGATGTGCCCCTTAGCTCAAACTGCCACAAATCATATGATATTACGCACCAAAATAAATAAATGTGCTGTCTCTGCATGCAATTTGAAGGATGAGCATGTGTTTGACATTACTCCAACCCATCCTTAGATTCAGAACCATCTGACTTTACAAACTGCAGTGCAAAGTTTAGCGAAAGCATAAGGGAAGGACAGGAGGACCGGTCCTTCCAAAGAATCAGATTCAAACAGCTACCCTCCCTACACCACGCCCTCCCGTGCACCCCAAACATTGTCATCTCAGACAGGATAACTTTGTAACTTCGTAATATTTTGAACTTGCAGCTCTCTGTGCATTGTTTTTCTCCCTTCTCCATGCTGTTCTAGAAAGGAGAGGACACATTGTCTAGACCCCACGTCCACAGCAATGTTAGCCGAATGCCAGAGACTCGTGAACCTACTCTTTCCTCCCTTCTCCCTCTTTTGTTTGCTATTTCTCCCAATAATCTTTCATAAAACGTCTTAACACCATAGGAGGTTTCTAGTGGATCCATATACTTGTGCTTTCAAAACAACATTTTATCTCCCTGACTCACAGGCGGAGTGGAAAAAAGAAACACACCAAAACAAACCCCTACATATTCGAAATAATCTACAAGGAAAGCCTGCATTGGAAATCATATTGCCATATAATTATCCTGTTTACAATCTCTCATACATCTTTTCTCATAGAAAAATGCGGATTTGGAAACAAAGCAGGAAAATGATGCCAGAAAACCCTGGCAAAGCTCTGACCACTGCCTGCTGAGGAATGGCTGCGGAGGGAGAGAAATGTGTTTGCAATTAGGACTGCCCAGAGCAGGTCCGATTACATCTGCACGCAGCCAAGCTGAAGAGATTTCCAGGGTGAACTTGTCGTGTGGGCCTAAATGGATAAAAGGGAACTTAGACTGGGGCCATTACAAGGAAATAAACGGGGCCTCCCTCTGCCCCTCCTCGTGTCACCCTTTTCTGAGCTCATTCCTACCTCTTGGATGAAGAAGAACAAAATCACCATCATTTTAGGCCTTCTTATGTTATAATTCGCAAGGTTCTCATGCCTTTTTCAGCAATAAACAAAAAAGGAGAAATAAAATGAGTGTTGTGAAGTGGTCTCCATGCTGATTGTGATTTACAGAATGACCAGGGGATATTAAAGAGATGCCAGCAAGACTCTGAAATAGCCAAAGGCTCACCATCGTGCCTCTCTGCTTCAAGGAGCAGCCTCCATCCTTTGCTTCCAGGCTCTAAATGCACCCACCATCGACTCTTCAATCTCGCATCGATCTGGTAGCCCACTCTCAAAGGCAAAGCAAGGCGTTCTCTGCAAAGAATTAAAAGCAATTAAGGTTTCTCTTCCTTGCCACAATTTTCTAACACAAAAATGCTCCACTGAACCTGCTGCCATTCCCTCAAATAAAGACAAAAAACGCAAAACAAAAGTTTGAGTTTCTCGTTGCATCCTGATATACCTGTTGGGTTTTGGTCATTGCGGGTGTGTGCAAGTGTATCTGTATGTTCTGTCCCACAGAGACCAGTTCTATATTCTTCACGAGACTGAAGAGATGGTTTCACAGCCATTCATAAATTTATCCCCTCCCATTTCCCTCACTATCTCTTGCTCAGAGACCTTTCAACTGAATCTATATTATTGCTTTTTAAGACCTTTTGATCAATTATAACAAGTCATAATACTACTACTTTGTATGAAATCTTTACTTAGAGGCCCCTGAAGGCCTTTTAAGAGGTTTTAATAATTTCACACAGTGCACTATGCCCCCTACCACCACCGCTCTTGCCCACACAAAGATGAAGAAACTAAGAAAGCAATTAAAAAAGGGTCCACATTTCTCTAATACTGTACCTTTTATTACCAATTTATCTGGGATAGTTCTTTACTGAGCAGAATCTATTTTAGCTATCTACATTGTGTTTCTACATACAAACAATTTTTTTGCCTCCATTTTTCAGTAAGAAGATCATTTTTGTAAATGGTGTCTTTAATAGGGCACCCAGATAATACAGAACCCAAATTGGGATATTTAAGAGTAATGAGGCACTATTTACAATTATTCTAGGACAGCAGCCATAAATTGGCACTGTCCTGGGCTAATCGCTTTGTTTCTTCTCCTTGTTCTTAAGTGACTTATCTGAATTTATGGAGCTGTGGTCGACAGGGCTCTCTGGATTGCAAAACTCAATTGTTCACATAGCCTTGCCCTCCCATCCATTATTGTCCAGATCCCTTGCCTAAACCTGCAAGGTGGCCATGATAAGGAGACATCCTGGGAGTTGGCACCTGAGCCTCTCTATTTGTTTGGAGTACCGTCATAGTTTCTGTGGTGGTCTGGAGAAGGTATCCTGGACAGTCTAGAAAAAATACTGAGAGGGTGATGTTAGGGAACTTTCTTATATTACCACCAGAAAAGGGCCATTTACAAACTGAGGGACAGTAAAAGTCCTCTTTGTAAGCCAGCTTTGACCTTTTCTGGAGCCTCCTTCAGTAGTCTATCATGGATGGGAAAACTAAGGACTTAGTTTTTAGCTGTGGAGTAATCCAGGCTGTCTGGCTTCCCAATTAGTTACTTGAGGCCCTCAATTTCTGGTGACCTACTCTTAGGAAGTCTGCCCTGTGGAACACTCCTGACCTGCTGGCCAGCTGGCTCCGATGCCATAGGCTTGCATCTCTCTGGACATTTGGTCCTCATCCCCCTTTTTATTTGACTTGTCAACACAAATCCTCTCCCTACACAGCCAAACGTGTAATAATTTCTCTCTCAAAATCTGTTTTTTAAATATAAAAAGTTATTTTTGAGACTAGTTTCATTCTCATACAAATTCAGTATTTCACCAGGGTTGAGTTTGTTGGAATTTGGATTAAATTTTTTTCCTGAAGTTATAAGTCATATACCATGGGTTTAAACATTGTCTTCTCTGGATATGGGATCATTTGGGATCAATCTTCACCTCCCACCCCCCATCAAAAATCATCTTCTGTTTCAAGATTTTGTGCCCCTTTTCATGTTTTCTCAAGTGAAATGGTCTTCAAGACCTTATATCTTGATTTTGGCAGACATGTTTTACTGATGGAGTGAGAATTCCCAGTAGTCTAGCTGAAGGACAGAGGATTAGTGTGCCCCTCTTTATTTCTTGAGTGCTGTTACAGCAATACCAGTAATAAATGAAGAATGCTGCTTCTTGCTGACAATTTTCAGGGACTGATTAAATATTTGCATGACATGACTATAGTCCTGAATAATGTCTGAGATGTCAAGGAAGAGCAACCCAAGCCTCTCCCTTCCTTTCTGCTGCTGATGAAACGACATTCAGCATTAAGCTGAGTAACTGTAATACAGAGACACTATATCTTTCCTCTAGTGATTCATTGCTATCTATTTTTAAATGTAAGTACATTTATATAAAATGATAGTGTCGTGCTGTGCCTAGGCTTTTCACATTATTGCTTCATTTTCCCTTGCCATGTAGTCATGCATTCATTTCTAATGGAGATTCAAAAATCAAAATGTTATCAATTCAATTTCCACAGGTAGCTCTGGATATTTGATTCAGCTCTTGCAGCAATGAGAAAGAAGGCACAACAAGGAGATCTTCTGGAATACTAGCAGAAGTATGATGAAATGTGGTGGTTCCAAATCTCTTTGATGTCATGCATCATTGCTTCTTGTAATGACACATCGTTTGGTTGACATTGCTGGGGAATGAAGTATTCCACATAAACACGTTTTCCAGATAACTGGAGCTGACTCTTTCTCATGCCAACACTTTCACATTTTTAGCTAGAGTGTGGATGAAAATCTTTCTAAAATATATACCAGTTTCTTGCCTTCTTAAACAGAGCAGAGCAAGTACAAGGAATATTTTCTTTGTAATAATAGTGGGCTATCTAATAGGGATATTTAATAGTGCTGTCAAGCTGAGAGCACGAGGGTTTGTTTTTAAGTTTGTGTTATTTATGATTTATATCCTACTTACTCCTGAAAAGAACTTGAGATAAAATACAATAAAGTTGCACACATGGGGCAGTTAAGCTCTCTGATATGTGTCTAGAGTGTAGATACATTTTATATTGAAGCCAGATGCATATACTTTTGACATCAGGCAGCAAGAAGGACATCTTGTTTTGAAAACCAAGAAGTTGGATCCCTCAGCTGGAGTTCTATCTCACAGCAACATGGGAGTGACCTAGGAGGGAAGTATGCTAGAGCAGCAATGAAATGATCTGTGTGGAACACCAGTGTCAGCCAACCCCAGCACCCCCCTAATAACAACAGGTCACATTCCCAGAATTCTCCGTCTCCTGTCACTGACTGTGCCTCCCATCTTCCTCTCAACCCTTGGCCTCCCTCATTCATCTTCCTCACAGTCTCCAAAACCTTGTATTCTATTAGCTCTTCCATAACCACATCCTTTCCCCTCCCTCTTCCTAAGCCAGACCTTAGATAAACACCTCTAATTCCTCAATCTTTTCTTCTACTCAGTAGCTGTATAACTTAATCCATTCTTGCTTCTAATAAATAAGAGGACTAGAGAGAGTTATTTGAAGAAATTTGATTTAGTCAAGTAAATTAGTGGATTAGTTTAGTGGATTTATTTAGTCAAGTTAGTGGGTCAGAATACACAAGAAAAAGTAAAGTACTGGTGCTGTTAATGGGTTTTAAAGTTTATTTAGTGGTCTCCTTTGGCAAGAGAAAATTAATTGCTGGTTAATAATGTGAGAGAGAATATGAGCATCACAGGTATGCATAATGATAAAAGGACTTGACCATGACTGTTATTAGAAGCTATGCAAACCCCCAAACAACAATGATAAAAACAACAAAATGGAAGATGGAGATTCATCCATGGGTAGCTGAAGCTGAAAAAGGGAATTGTTCATTGACAGTTGCTCAGCCTTCTCTCTGGATATTATAATCTGTGTTGTTCAGTTCCCTTCATGTGGGCTACTCTCCTGTTTGTCTTAGGGTGACTTTAAAATTGTTTCTGGTTTGGTTGTGACTATTTAATGTTTATCTCTAAGAACAACAACTTACTTGAATTGGCCCACACATAAAGCCACCTATACTTACAGGAAAAGTGTTTAGCAAGACTCAAATCTCGTGTCAAGAATATTTTCAAAACCTGTGTACGCAGCTTCAGGAAATTCCGTAAGGATTGTGAAGGCTTTCAAATGTCCATGTCATCTTGCTCCTGGCACCTCCCTTCTTTTTGTGAGGCCAGAAGTAGGGAAGCAGCTCCCAGCTCTGTGCTTGGGTCCAGAATAATTGAAAACACTTTAGGGAAATAACAGTGTTATTCTTTAGGAAAAGGCTAGAGATTCCTGATAGTTGAGATATTTACATACTCAATACCTCATTATTTACTCCATCTTCATAATGGCTAGTTGAGAAGTAAGGAATTCTATAAATTAGAATAGTGTTGTACGGTAGCAGGGAATTGGGTAGTGGGGCGGGGGGTGGCCGGGTAGGGGAGGTTACCCCCCATACTTCAGTACTTCTAATATTAGATTAAATCAGTCAAACAATATAGCACTTTCTCCCAAATGATGATTTCATACCTATCAATACAGCTGATGTAATAGCTCAAGTGAAGTCTTTTTAAAACAGGTTATCATTTCATCACTATTTTATTAGGTACTAGTGCCATTGATTGATGGATGCAAACAACGTTAATTGAACATTATGCTCTATGTTAGGCCAGGTTTATAAAGATGAAAAGATATAGGTCTTGCTGTTAAGTTGCTTATAGTCTAGCAAGAAGGTATATCACCAAGCATTAAAACACTAAAACACAGTAAGATGATTGCTATAAAGGGCAGGTGGTATTCGCAAGACCCCAAACGACTTACCTCTTCTTTCTGAATTTGAGGTAGATAAGTAGATAAAAGTGGTTGGATAAGAATTAAAAATAGGCTTACTTGCTAGTAATGGATTGGAGAATGTGGCTCATACCTGAGGCCAACAGGCTTTCCTTCCACCTGAACCGACCTTGTCAATGTAGTGGGCAGAGCAGCTGCTCTGGTAAGTGCAGACAAAGCAGCAGGAAGCAAAAATGAGAATATGGGTTGTTCGTGAGCAGCCAGCTCTAGAGTATCAAAGAGAAGTCTCTAATGAGAAGTATGGCCTTGTATCCAGTGTCACCAATCAGAGAAGTCACTCCTCTTCTTATAGAGTAGAGAGAAAGAAGTGGAAGGATTTCTCTAGTATTATTCCCTCCAGAGTTTTAAGAATTTCCTTGGAGTTGAAAAGCTGGCCTTTTGGGTAGTATGGTATATTGCTCTACTTATTGAGTGGGAAGGAGGGGCAAAGAAGCAGATGCACGGGAAATGCAAATGCAGGGGACGAGTTCTTGCAAGCATCTTCCTGCTGATGTTCACTGAGGCTTGGGAGAGAAGTTGTGGGATGAAGTGTGTACACAATGTGCTTTTCAGATAGGAACCTATGTAAATCCTAGGTCCCTATTCGTGTGGCAAATAGGAGGCATTTGTTTGTCTATACCCTCAATAGATGTTGCTCTTCATCTGTGCCTGCGAATAAAGCAAGCATGCATATTACGGCGATGACTTTAGTAACTGGTCACACATTCATGCACACACAGTGTGACGCCTAGCTTCTTTGTGGGGAACCCACATGATCCTTTTGTGATAACTGTGTAAAGAATTTTCTTTTAAAGAATGAAATCCTTTACATATAATTTTAGATTGAAATGCAGTAATTTTTCTGCAAAGGACTTTTGCATGTGTGTTAGCTGCTTCTCCAAAATAAGTAACAGATGTGTAGGGCTCCACTGAAACACAAATATGTGCGAGGTATTCTTTAAATATGAAAATTTGCCATTTTAAGAGATGAGTCAGAAATTTAGCCTTTTATGTCTGTCTAGTTTTATTTAGTCTTGAGCAAAATATGATAGAGAAAACCCCAACAAACATCTCAGCTCAAGTTTGGAAGGCGGTGGTCCAGACTGTCTTTTGGAAAATGCCAAATGTGAGCACTGAAGCAAAGCTAGGCTAGAAATAAATGATGATGGCCAAATAGTAAGTAAAGTACTACCCCAGATGCCCATGCCCCATTCTGATTCTTTACTCCTTGGCCGTTGAAATTGTTTAACAGTGTTAGGAACTTGGGCTGCTTATGTGCTAAAATCTTCAAGCATATTCCCAACGTTACCTAGTTCATTGGAACTAGTTATTAGAATAACTGGTATTAGAATCAGACCTCAAAACACAGAATAACCTTAAAAATAGGATTATTAGAGATGTTTAATACAGACCCATTCAATACTCTAGAAATAAGACTTGAGAACAATTTGTCTTTATAAGACTAAGTTTCTTTAATTTGCTTCTTCCAAATTGTATAATGTATCGGTAGATCCACTTTTAAACACGCAGATATTTAAGGAATATGAAAACCTTACAATATTTTATTGAAGCAACTGTTCAATTTGCACAGATGTGCACTTGAATTAGTACTTTTCAAAATGAATTGAGAAAGCATAATTTTTGGAAGGAGTCAGCAAAACTTCATTGGCTCAAAATCCCTGTAACAGGCACCTTACTTCCTCATTAAGATGTCTCTCCTCTGCCCTGTTTAGTGAAATGACATGCTATATTGGCTCCCCTGAAAGCCCGGATGATAAATAAGTAAATCGGAATTTTTTCCTTGTAGAAACATCAGTGTCATCTTCACTAAAAGTCATCCAGAAAAGTAAGGAAAAGTTTGAGATGTTGTAGTTGCAGAATTAATTCTGTTAACATCTTGTCACTAAATTTTCAGACTGTTCCAGCTTCCACTTTGGTTCGATTTAGCAGCAATGCTACTCAGATGATAAGGATTAATTTTCTGTGACCTATTTTCTTTGACCTTTATATGACCTTAAAGCTTTTTTTTTTTTTTTGGTCTATCTTTTTCCCTTATTCTGCCTGCCTTCTACCTCGCGCAGCCATGGATAACTTCAAAGCAATTCTCTGTCTGATACTAGGTTTTATTTTATCGGGTGGCAATTCATTCCACTACATAAAACATAAAACACCATTTGCCTATAAACGTTCTCCCCCAACATAGAGGCAAAATTTTTCCTATGTTTTTCTTAACAAGGAAATGTTTAGAAGAGGAAAAATGTGGATTCTTTATGTGCAGTGGCATATTTTCTGTTGGCTATTTATAATTCACATTTCTCCCCATGTACTTGAGATAAAAGTCACTTTTAAAAATAGAAGCTATAACTTTTAAAACTGAAATCAATAGCTAGAAATCCCTGCAAATAAATTAGGGCAGACACTTCATTGCTTCTTGCTCACATTCTCTCTCCATGACCCTTTATATTTTTAATAAATGCTCCAGGACACTTTTCACAAGTCTTTCATTCTTTTAAAGCTTATTATTTTTAACACTGTAAACACATCTACTCTAAACATAATGATGACACACATAATCTACACATGGGTTATATGAACAAGCCCTAAAAACATGTTTAAAGGTAACTTTAAATTAAACGCCTACTTACATCCATATTTACTGAGTTGTCAGTTAGTATGTTGAAAAAAATGGAGCACTTATAAACACTGAAAATAACACAAAGCCGTAGCCAGACTGAGTTTTGGACATGGATAATCAGAACAATCTGTAGCCCGTCTGTGGCTAATGGGATGTTTCTCCCAGCTTTGTCACCATGGCAAATACTTCATAATACACAAACATTTGTAGCGCTAAAAATCCACCCACTCTTGT